TATGTACTTGGCCGGCTGTTTCTGAGCAACGTCCGAAGATACCGGTAGTCTGAACGTTTTTTGGCACGGTTACGTTCTGGCCTGCTGGCCGGGAGCGAAATGCGATTTGGAATGACTCCAACAATGCATTCCACTCCTACTGTGTCTCAAACGATTGCCGCTGCGTTTTCCCTGCCTGCAAAAGCCCACTATATTATACGTCCCGGCACATTACGTTTGGGATGGCGCCCAAAACGGACTGCCCAAAAACACACTCCCACCCTCCTCCCTGCTGGCCGGCAGCAAAAGGCGATTGGATGCGATTGGAATGGTCCCAAGAATGAATTGCACTGGGTCTCCTGGAAACGTCCAACACGCGTGTGTTTTGGCAGCTTTGCTCCGGTGGTATGAGGGTGTCGCCAAATCAGGACTGGAAAGTCGTTGGGACACCTGTTCCGGAGCCTATTGCGCCGAGAGCTTGCGCCATGTCGAGCAGCTTGACTCAGGAGCATAGCATGAAGATTAGACTCCTGCGGGGTGGTGATTTCGGGGGCTGCCGTCGTAAGACTGCCCGCAAAGTCATCCGCGCTGCGAGGCTATGCTGCAGAACTAGAGGAAATGGACAACGAGGAAGATGAAGATGATGAGGCTACATCTGTACTGCGCGGGTCGAGGTGTGTCGACCGCTGTCACGTTGTCCAACAGAACAGGCTCAGGCACTACGTGGTTCGTTTATGCGGCCGCAGGGTTGATCGATAGCTAAGTTCTATCGCTGCAAGAAGTGGCAGGAGGATGAGGATGCAGAGTCCTGCCTGTCGGACGATGAACTCATGACATTGTGCCTGAAGTGACAAGCTAGCTCCATGGCATTTTGCGGCTGCGTGGCTTCGTGAGGTTGTCTGACAACACCTGAGGTGCTTGGCCAAGAAAGTTCCCTTACTCCAGCTGCAGAGCAACAAGCGTGCGATCCAACTATTGCGGCAGCTGGACAGACTTGACAAAAGCTCAATCTCCACTTTGAAGAACGAATACAAAAGATCCTCGGCTCACGTCTTCAGCCCGGTCTTTAGGCATGGTACGGCTGTAATGATGCCGGTTGAGAGCGACAGATTGCCAGACAGCCAATACCGTGTTCGTTGGGTGCCAAGGGCGCGGTTTCGCTTTTGAAGCATCGATTCGCAAAGAGAGCAACCTGGCGCGAATTTGAGATGACTGCTTGCTGCTTCTACTGGAGTTGTCCAGCGCATGCTTGCGCCTGGTTATGAGGCCTACTGGCTTCCGTGAAAGAAGTGGCTGTTTACGAGAACTTGATGCTGGAATGCAGAGTTTCAGTTTAGAAGCTGTCAGCTGGGGTTGCATAGGACAGTTTTAAGGGCACACTCTCACATACTGCATGTTGCATTATCGCACGCAAAAACGGCTCAGAGTTCTCTTCTAGGCGTTTGGTCATGAAGCCCAGTCTGTCAACTCAGGAAGCTGCAGCACTTGCGAGCAGCCTGCTTGAGTCGAAACCTCCCTGCAGATGAGAGCATGCGACGTCCAGGCTTGAACGGCAGGGACTGCAGGGACAACAGGTTCTACTTGTAATCGCTTCCCCCCGATATCAAAGGCCATGTTCTGAAGCCCAACCGGTACAACATGGCACGGAATGGAAGTTTCAACGAAGCCTTTCCTCACGCAGTAATTAAGTTCCAAAATCCTGTGCCAAGCGCGGACAAGGGCCGACCTTGCCGAAGCACAACAGGGGAAGTGCTCAAAAGCGTCGCCTGATCTAAGCCCCAAGTGGAGCTGGGTTTGCGGCCACAGCGGAAACACCAGCTTGAGGCACCACTAGCAGGCATGCTTGTGACTGTGCGATGATCCGCAGGGCTACTGCAACTTCTGGCCGACCAGTCCTGGCACAGCTTGGGCATCCCAGTGGAGCAACTGCCTAGCCTGGTCGTTGCGCATGGGGTGCGGCCCTCATCTTGCGATGCTTGACCGGTGCCTTTCCACCCGTTGTCTCGAAGGTCCTCGACTCGCTGGGCACGCTAAACACCAAGCACTTGGCAGATCTTTGTGCACAGTGCCACAGGACGCCTGTATGGGACATTAAGGGATGGAGAGCACACTTACTGTTCGGAAAGGGTGCGCCGCGAGCTGGTTCAAGCTAAGGATGGGGGTGCCGGTGGAGTCCAAGCCGGAGCACCACAACTGCACTGGCCATTACCGTCTCTCCTGACAACCAACTCACTTGCCAGGAAGCCTGAGCTCGTGAGCCGGCTTGGGAAGGCCGGAGGAGCCTTGCAAGAATCCCTGCGAGGACTTCAAGCTACCGTAGGAGTTTAGCGGGAGGTTGGCTTGCGCGTGCTGGGTGTCGTTTGCCACGGATTGCACTTCATCTTCGCAGGCGATGGTGTGGAAGCAGATGGATGATGCTGCCCTCAGGACTGCCAAAACAGTTTCTTTGTCTGTGTTTTCTACTTCGCCACCGTGAAGCAGAGTTCTGTGGCATGAACGAGAATCTGCCTTATTACAGATGCTTAACTTCAAGTCGCGCGCCTATGCCTATGTTTCGCCCAGAACTGATGGCATTCTGAAGTCTTCGTCTTTGACAACCCCAAGTTCCACTAAAGTCTTGGGATTGGTCTGTCGAGTCTACGTTGACAGTCAGGGGCACCGCATCTCCTGCAATTTTGGTGCTGCAATAGCGGAGTCTCTGCACCTCCGATCTTGACGACCTGATTGATGCTTGTCCGATCACATCACCCGTCCGAAAAGTCACACACCAGATGTCGGAAGCGGCTGCAGACTCAACGAAACTCTTACGCCTTGCAGACTCTGGAGCTGGTCCAATTCTGAGCAGGAGAGAGTGCTCCAAGAGGGGAGCTCCCTTGGATGACATCCCTGAGCAGCCTCAGCAGCCAGGAGCAGCCCGGGTTGGAGTGCAATTTTCAGGAACCTTCCCATATTTTCACCGGCGCCGTGGGATATCGAAGACCAGGGAGATGACATAGGCTCGCTGAAGGGTTGACTGTAGTGCAGGCGTGAAGCTAATCGTGAACAACAACTGCAAAGCGGGACGGCAGAAACTGGAAAGGCGCCCAGTCGGCACAGAGCAAGGGCGCATGATGGTACTATGGTTGCAGGAAATCGGCATGTTCTGGCGGGTTGGGCGAATTCAGCAGCCAGCAGAGTTGACGTGATAGACCCAAAACGGGATGCTGCTTGAGCTGTCCATCCCAAGGCTTCTGCTTCAGTCCTTATGGCTCGACATTTGGAAAGCAGCTGGCATCACCGTCCAGAGCTTGGGAAGCCACCAGGCCGGGTCGCTGATCTCCACTTCTTCAAACTGAGTGCCCTTCAGTCGCCCTGCAGGCGGCCTCCAGCCTTTTCTCGGAGGTCTGGCGCTTTGGGCCTTCGGGGCAAGGGAGACTTTTTGGAGGGTCCACGTGTGATTTGCAGAACCCTGAATCAGGTGGAACGCCTTCACAGCGAGGATCTGCCTGCCATCCAGGCCTTTCTAAAGGATGCTGCTCTTGTACCGTCACATCATCATCATCATCATCATCGGCTGTGAAGGCTTCACAGGGTTTTGTCGCCAGACTAGGCTCCAACTTCACCATCGACCTAGTAACTTAGTACATTACAACTTTGCAGGAGCGGTACAAGGCTCTGGACCTGCCGCTGCAGCAGGCACAAGAGTAACTTGTCCCATTGCTCTACCGCGGCCTGATCAAAGATGCCTTGCTGCTTCAGGTGCAGGATCGGCGCTGGGTACTTCAGCGAGTTTCAGAGTCTCTTTTCTGGGAGGCCCTGCCGCTGGCAGACTTTCGGCTGCACAGATGCCAACAGAATGCCCAGCAAGAGGCATTCACCGGCCTCGGCACCGTGCGTGCCGTCCTCGCTACTTATATTCCAGTGTAGAAGTCGCAAAATCTGCTACTGGCACAAGATGAAACCATGAATTAGGCAGCAGAATCAGGATACTGTAGGCGGCGCCCGGATCGACAGGCCGCAGTGCGTAGAGATGTATGTGGAGCATTCCCTGATGTCGAAGCAACGGTGACAAGCTGAGGAGCTGCTAGAAGAGTGCGAGATGCGCGCGCTGCCCATCAATCCAGCGGCAAATCAGCTGCGGCGAAGCGTCTTTTTGGGTTTGGTGCACAGACGTTGGCAGAGAAGCGCTTGCCGGTCGAGTCTCAGGAGCGTGATGCCGACCATGCTGCGGAAACAAAGCCTGTGCTGGTACGCAGACTGGTCAAAGACTCCTGCATTCGTGGCTTGTCCACAAGCAGGCTTGAACTCAACCGCATTCCGATTGGCTGAGGTCTGTTTTGAGTTTGGATCCGTGCTTGGAATTACTGTTTCGTGCATCACTGCCGAGGTGCTTGGGTCAAGATGGGCATTCCCGTTGCACGGCTGGGCGATGCGCGTGCCGTCGCGCTGGTCGCTGAGGAGTGGCAGAGCCTCGAAAATATCGGCTGCGCTGCTGCATTTATCCGATAAACGTAGCCAGAGATGCAAGCAAGCCCTTGCGTCTCCGAGTCATAGAATCATAGAGTAATATACTCCCAAAGGCACGGCAGACTTGGGTGTATCACATTCGAAGCGATTTCCCCACGGATTTGTCTTGCTGTATCGGGACATGCGCATGGCGATTCCTCTTTTCCAACTTCTTCGCTTCATAGTCATACTCTGGTTTCACGATGTACCTGTCTGTCGTCGCGATGAGCGCAGCGCCCCAGTCGGATCTCCGCCCAAAGCGTCGGCGTAGGTTCAACACCTTCACTACACTACACCTTCCATACATCGCTTTGCCTGCCTGAAGCTCATTTCCTCCCTACTTTGCTGCTTTCTTAGATTCTTTACATCAGTATGTCCTCCCTGCATCGGTGAAGAACACTCTTCGCACGGCATTCTCGTGCGGTTGCTTTCGGCATCTTCAGTCTTATTGTCTCTATGCACCGCACATTACCGTACATTCCATTGGATTCCGTTGAGTTTCTGCTTACGTGCCAGGGCACGCACGGTGCATGAACATTCAAAGTACGGGGGCAACAGTATGTGTCTCAGACGTCAAGGCGCGGATGTGGAATCCTGTAACACGCCCTACAGTCCATTCAGTCACTTCAGCTTGCCTCACCGAGTGATCACTAAGGCAGTGCTGATTTGAAGATCAAATGCGAACTGCATGGTGTGCCTCCAGCACCTGGGCGAGAGCACACTTTTGTCTTTTCCCCATGCCAGAAAGTTGTCTACGTTGCCGTGGCAGCAGGATGCGGCCTTAGAGCGGCACGACTTGCTTCAGCTGCTGAAGGATATCGCAGTTGCCTGGCTTTCGATAGCTGTGGCTTAAGCTTGGGGCAGGGGCGCAAGACGAACAGTTTGTCAGGTTTGGGAATCAATGCCACTGCACGAGCTCAAGGCTGAGCTCGCCAAGGTCACTGGCTCATGCATCTAACAGACCCTTTTGGTGCATCTTTATTCATGGTCGGGCGTTGCAAGGTCACAGGTCCAGGAGTTGCACCACCTGCCCCTGAGCGTGGCGACTGCTGGAAGGACTGGTGAGTTAAAGCGCAGGTGGCCGTGACACCTTCTGCCCCACATGCGTGAACAGTGGGCTTCCCAAGGAGCAGAACAGCCTGGTCGAGCAGCTACTTCTGTTGAGGTGCTAGGTTGCAATGTGCTTGTTAGAGGCAGCACTGCTGCCACCTCTCGGTGGAGATGTGCGTACATCAACCTGGTCGTGACCCCCAGGTGCGCAGAGGCCTACGAAGCCAAGGGCATCCCAGCACGTCGCATCGGCTCTTTGAAGGCTTCTGCGAAGCTCGCGCAGGACGAAGACGAAGAGTGCAAAGATGTGCCCAAAGACCCAGCTGCGTTGCATTTATCCAACTGCTCTTTCGAGGAGCTCAAGGATCTGGAGGCCCAGGACACGGCAAGCTTGAAGGCCGAGTGCCAAAGCCTCGGACTGCCGGTGCAGCACTTGCGGCAGCAGGACACGGCACAGCACTGCGAGACATGATTTGTCACATGGAAGATTAGAGCTTCGACGTGAATTTTCAAGGAGCTACGTGATTTGCATCGAGAGCTGGCCCTTTGGCGGGCACTGCCTTGCGGGGAGCTGCGATTGGCACCTCTGGCGCAGAGAGGGCTTTATCGTGAAATTCTTGCAGGATGTTTCACCTCGAAGCTGACACATGCCGACTGAATGAAACTGATGCGTTGCGGCGGATGTGAACTTAGGAATGCAGAGCACGGAATGTGCCCTGCCCGCAACCACAAGGCATGGTCATGGAGCAGGCGCGTGTAAGTACCCCGGCGAGAAACGACAAGCCCAACCCGATCTTTGATCGTTGCTTGATGCTGCACTCCGGAGATTCTTTGGCCAAGATGTGAAGTCGTGGGTGGGTCGGGTGGGCGGGGCATGCGGGGAGTACTGGGTCGCGCGGCGTTGAGCTGCCGCTTGTAGGAGCTCAAAGAGATGCTCGTGGATGCCCTCCTCGTGGAAAAGTGCGAGGCAGCCATTGCTGTCCTGGCATGGCCCAGAGTGTCTTGAGTCTTTGGTCCTATGGACCGGTGACCAGTTCCCAAAGGTGTTTCCGAAGCCTCGGTATTTTTCTGCGTTATTCAGTTTTCTGCACAGCCGCCAAGCCCATGCTAGAATAGTGAGCTGGCAGGCCTGGTACGAGCGCCGTGGTGTTCCAGTCCGGCAGCTTGGCAAAGCTTGGCCTTGGTGAAGCGCAAGCCAGTCTGGCGAATCTGTGCCCATGATCTGGAAGGCGGTTGGGCTCTGTCTCTGCAGCTGCACGTGTGTCGGAGCGCTGGGAGCAGCTGGATCAGCTGAGCGAAGGCCTGCTGTCCCCGCTACTGCCCTTGTTGGCTTCTGTTTTCTGTATGACAAATTGTTTATGGTGCAACCTCATCCAGCAGCCGTCAACACGTAAGTCGATGTTCCTAGGTTGCATGCTTGGGTTGAAGCATGTTGAAGCATCTTGCGCGGAAAGAAGTGGTTCGTTGGGATCATGGTATCTCACGGTGAGCGGCTTCTGCACGGCACGAATCGCTTTGGAGGCATCGACTGACAGGCGAGGCTCTCCCAACCAGACTCCATGCAGTCCTTGGCCTCTTCACACGGTGCAGGTGGGCTACTCTTCAAAGCCTCGGCTTTCAGTGGCTCAATAGCACTGGATAGCCAGTGCTTTAGTTGATGTACCAACTTCAGGCCTTTGACTTCGGGAGGGGCATTATCGCCAATATTCCTCTCGCACCCAAAACGGGACCCTGCAAGAGTCCGGTGCCAATTTCTAGTGATTCTAGTGCCGTGAAGCACTAATCCGACTATGAAAACGTGTAACTGTAACAGCACACGACTGCACCTCATTCCGGGTATGAGTACATGCTCATGTTTCGGAGTTTAAGAGAAGTTTCTGCTGAGGCATCCATGTCGACAAGGACCTGAAAAGGCCCGGGGCACAGGGGCTCGTACTTGTTGCACGTTGACCAGATGTTTTCACACGTCCTCATGTGCTGGTGTCGAGCACGACAGCGAGCCACGCAAAAGGAACCCTGCCCAAAGTACCGGGTCCGCCCAAGTGGCTTCTTGTCATCCACTCTGGTAGGTCGGAAGTGATGGAGAGGATAAAGCAGGCAATCTTGTGGAGCGAGTTGCCCATGCGCGAGCTGCAGAAGGCTTCCAGTCTTGATGTGCTGTGGTGTTGCAACTTCCGCAACCCTGTACTTGTCTGGTGATTTGAGAGGTTTGCCGTGAACACGGGGTCAACTCCGTGGCCCGCGAAAATCAGAAGCAGCTAAGCGGATCAGACGAGTCAGTGGAATGTCAAGCGGTCTGGTCTAAGCCTAAGAAGCCCTAAGCTCTTGGACAGCTGCCCAAAGGAAGGAGCTGATGCACCGCCTGGCCTCTGCGCTCTGGCCTCCGCCGCCACCCGAGCCCCCAAAGCCGCCACCGACGCGCGGCAGAATCTTAGATGCCGCCCTGAGGGTCAGGCACATAGCAGCTTCCTGGAGGGTAGGCAGCGGTCCCTTGACACTCGCTGCCCTTCGGTAGCATGTCCTGACCTATTGCAATTTGTGGTCTGTCATTCTACTGAGTCTACGGTGATAGATTCAATGTGCTGATTCTTTAGTTGGCTGCTTTCGAACTCACTGGGCCGCTAGCTTTCCGAGCAAGGCGGATCATGTTGAAGTCATTGGCTTCTTCACTTGGATCAAGCGTATGTTCTTGACATGTTGCGAGGCAGTGTTTCGCAGATTGGCTCGGCCACGAGTGTCTCAGGGAATGTGCATGCGAGCGAGTGTAGTGTGACCCATACATCAGTAAAAACAGCGGCAAAGGTCAGTTCAGCTGTGGTGAGAGTCTTGGTCAACCAGTGGTGTGTAACAACTGGGACAACGAAGTGTGGACCTGCTGATTCACCAAATTTTTGTCAAAGCGGTCGGAAACTTGAAGTTTCGCATGGCTTTGCAGTTTGTCAACCTGGTTTGTTCATGACAGTGGGAACCTGGGCAAGCGACTTTGCCACGTGTTCTAGCATAGCAGCCGGCACAGCACCGCGATTCACACTGGTGTTCGTGAGTGAAAGCAGGCACACGCACATTCTACGTAGGTGAAGGGGAGTGCTGGCATCATCTGGCATCTGCTGTTGGACCACAAAACAGGTATTACGAGAATTGGCGTTCGCGATCAGCGATTCAGCGATGCCCAGTTTGTTGTCACTCTACTACAGCTTTCTACCACTGACGTGCAATATTTCGACTTGCCAAGTTCAAGCCCATTGAGCCGCGGAGTTTGGAGTACAGCAAAGGTTCTGCATTCAAAGCGAATATAGATAGCACCACAGGAAGACGCAACCAAATGCTTGGAGGGGTCTGCGGCGACTGAAGCACCAAATGTTTGTCAGATTTTCATAATCGGCTTACTTTGCCCATCCGCCTGACACGCTCTGAGCCCAGTGCTGCGAGGACATTCAACAACTTCGGTTCGAGAGATTGGCAGAGGTGGGGTTTGGGGGGGCATCGCACCTGCCTAAGTTTGAACCGACAGAAGCATGTTGGAAGTATGGTAGAGTCTATAGAGACTTGCCAGCCCTGGCTAGCATGTACAGCTGCGCTGTCAAAGCAGGAATTTCAAGAAAACCAACATCCCGCCTCCGAGCCTCCCGAAGAACATCAATCCCAAAACGCGTGGCTCTCAGCTTATCATGGCAGTGCCAGCCGGAGGTGCAACATAGTAGCTGCTGTGAAGTTGGAGCTGAGCTCCGGTCGAAGTTTTTTGGGAGGCTTCTGCCTCACTTCAAGACACTGGGCCTGGCTCCAAGCGCGAGTCCGGCAGATGCTCGGTCCAAGAGATCTATGGAAGTATTCTGAATCTCATAGCTTTCACTTCAACCTCGAATTGAGCTGTGTAGACTTATGTTTATGTGGCGACCTGTTGCGATAGTCTTGTGAGACTTGGAGACGTTGGCTAAGGAAGTGAAGAAGGCATACCGCAAACTGGCACTGAAGTACCATCCGGACTGCACCATTGATTCTGAAAATGGCATGTAATTCTCAGTCATGTCAAGGGTGAGATGGAGATTCTCGGCTTTTTGCTTGCACGTAGATGAATGCAATCGTCGTGATGTTCTTCTAGCTCTGGGGTTCATGTCAAAGTTCGCAGCTGGCTCCAATAGTTGGCGCCGTGGGCACCCAGAGGTGCTACCAGAGCTGCGCAATCGCAGCAACTGTTGCGGAGTGCCATGGCCCACACAATGCCAAACATCATGATGTCCTCGATGCCGTCGCTTCCCGCCTCTCCGCTGAGTGCCCGGGGCATTGATGAGTCAATATCCGGAGATGCCCGGCTTGTGTGCCTGAGCGAGTTGCCACGAAATCCTTCGCTCGTGTCTGATCTTCCCTATTGCCATGATCTAAGGATGTCACGTACAGACTGGGCGGTCAGTTTTGGCCCTCCCGCTGCTTTGCCAAACTGCACGGAGACTTGTTGATGCTGCAACGAAGCGGAAGGCGCAGACTCGGAAAGTGCAGCTGCATATTATGCAGAGCGGATGTGGATTAACCTGGTGTTGCACCACTTGCATGCACAGGGCCAGGGCATGCGTGGAGTTTCTGCCCAAGTTTCAACCCGCCGGTCAGCAGAGACCAGTCGAAGAATTTCGACCCATTTCGACCCAGAATACAGTGCTCCCATAGCCGCCGCGGATTTGAATGCAGGCAGCAGGCCGCCGTGTCCTTGACCGGCGCCAAGGTGGAGGTGACTGCACAGAGCACCGTCCAGATCGAGGCACGGGACGCGAGGGGGTTCAAGGCAGAGATCCACTGGCAGCCCCTTGTTTAGTACTTGACTGCAATGGGAGACTTTTGAAGCCTGTGCGGCTGGGAGGCCCCGGGAAGTCCATCGTTATCTCTACGTCTAAACAGTGCCGAGGCAGGGCTTCACTTGTAGTCACATTGTGGTCGTTTCGAAATGTCTTGAACACTGCAGCATCCCCTAAGACTTAGCTCATTTTTTTCAGGAGGCGATGCGCTGGTGCCAGGCTCTCCGTCGAGCAGTCAACCGCTCTCGAGGACAGGAGCACGCGTGGATACAGCATATTTTGAACGGCATTGCCGGGTGCCACCTGAGGGCGTCCAGTAGTGTCATATCGGAGTCATATCAACAAAACCCTGCGGCAGGCTTTCGTGACATGGTCTGCAACTCTCCGCTGATCAGCCCACGCGGAGCTTCCCCTTCTCCACGCGGTGCTTCCCCTTCTCCACGCGGTGCTTCCCAGTCACCACGTATTCACGCCAATGAGGGAGAGGCATCCGGGATTCATTGCTGCAGTCGTGTTGCGAAGACGTCAGGATTCACAAGGGGGTGTGGTCCACTGCTTAAGGCATGCAGGCCACTGGAGCTAGCTTTCAGGGGAGCATAGGGGAGCCGTGTGATTTGGCAGGCCTTCTAGTCGAGCCTGTTCATATGCAAAGAAAAAGAAAGCTCATGATCTGCTTCGCAACGACCGGCTTGAGTGGTTCTTCAGTTCCTGCTGTTTTTCGAGGACCGCTTGGAGCTGCTGCAAGCACAGATTCGAGAAAAGGAGGCTTCCATCAAGGCCTCGTCCGCTTGAGATTCTGTGCAGAGGAACGCACGCCGAACTCAGCGTATCTCAGCGTCCCAGCGATTCCCAGCGTCCCAGGAACTGGGTGAGGCTCAGAACGCTGCTATGGCCAGGGCTGACGCTGCAGCAGATGCGAAGCAGGAAGCAGAGGTTCCGGAAGCGTCTATACAACCCTTTAGTGATCCTCATCAACCACCCGTGCATGAGTGCAACGCTCATGCACATCAGTATCCCCGCTGTTTCAGTTAACGAGCCGCCTCGAAGGGTTCAGTGATCAAAGAATCTCCCTAACAAGCAGAAGATCCTAAGATGGTCTCTCGACAGGCTCGAGTGAAGCTAGCGGAGCAAGCTCTTCGAACCGAGCAATCTCTGCGAGAAGATCGTGAGAAGAAGCTGGAGGTCGAGCCTCAGTAGGTCAAATCATGTCAAATCTGACTATGCCTGGTTTACGCAAAGAGGAGATCTTGCATCATCCGAGTGCAAGTGACTGTAGACTGCCGTGTGCTCCGTGGTGCTTCGCAGCCCAAGGCAATTCGCAACTCGCAGGCTGGGAAGTGCTTGAATTAATGATAAAAATAAGGTCTCAGAATCTCACATCTCCGTCTCCGTGCACGCTAGCAACTGCTGGAGCTTGTGTCATACTGAGTTTTGGTAGATTCTGGAAGTTGCCGGGCTTCTGGATACACTAGCTGCCCCAAGCCCACCTCTCGGCTTCGCAGGGAGAGTCGGAAGAGAAGAGCAGCAAATACAAGCAGGAAATCGCCGACTTGCAGATCGAGCTCTCTCTGCAGAAGGCCGCAAAGGGCCGGAAAGTTTCCTTTTTTTTCTCCTCTTTCTGGTTCGTGTCCTTTCGGGTTTGGATACGGATATCGGAGCATGAGGACAAGGAGAGCCATCATTTTTCTATTTGCCTTGTTACTTACACTTATTGAATTGTGATTGTCTTCGTGCTTTTAGCTGCCCTGCTCCGGGCAGGGTGAAGTGGCATCGCTCCGCGACCAGCTCTCCGTGGCACTGGAAGAGCGCGATGTACAGCTGGCCGATGCACAGTCGCGAACGCAGGCTTACGAAGGTTTGCAGGAGATGGTGGCCGGTCTGGAAAAACAGCTCGCAGATTCGCAGCGCCGAAAAGTCGCGGCCGAGAATCGGTTTGCTGCCGAGGAGGCATGTCGAAAGGCAGCAGAGGATCGCTGCGCAGGTGCTGAGAAGCGACATGTGCAAGACGAAGAGCTGGCAGAGAGCTTGGCCGCGGCTCTCCATGAAGCCAAGCAATCCCTGATGTCAATAGAAGCCAATCGAGAAGTTGCTGTGGACCAGGCCTCTGCGGAGGAGCGTGCTGCACGCCAAAGGTCGGAATCCTTGCAAAAGGCCTTGCAGAAGGAAATCGACAGTTTGAAGGAAAGCCTAGCCTCAGCAGAAGCCAAAGGCGCAGAGGCTGAAGCCCGAGCACAGGACTTGCAGAAACGCTTGGCTAGCAAAAAGGTCGAGCAAGCGCAGGCCCCAGATTCACCAAGCAGAAAGGAGCAGGCAGAGATTCTTGCTCGCAAAGAGGTGGAGGTCCGCAACCACGAGTTGCAGAAACGCCTCGCCGCTTCGGAGGCAAAAGTGAAAAAGGCGGAACAGGCAGAAGAAGCACGCAAAGAAGCCGAGGCTCGTACGCAAGAAGCGACGGAGCGCCTGTCTCTGCTCGAGGCGGAAGTGACGGAGCTTCGAGAGGCAGCGCTGGCTTTCAAAGAAGCAGAGACGCAGTTTCAGGATTCTCAGAAGAAGGAATCCCTGAAAATCGAAGCAGCGGAAGCTGGGTGCGCTGCGGCGGAGGCGCGAGTCGCCCAGCTTCAGAATCAGGTATCCGGCTTGGAGTCCGAGCTCGCTCGGGCAAAGGCTGCCGGATCCCTCCAAGAGGTTCATCTAGCAGTCAAGAAAGATGTAGAGGCTCACGCCGAAGACTTGCAAAATCAGCTCTCGGACATGGAAGCTCATTTAGAGAAGGTGCACCAGGTCCGTGCAGACAAGGAGAAGGCGGAGGAGAAGCTGCAGAGTCTCGAAGAGCGGTGCAAAGCCATTGAGGCCAGGTCTTCTTCGCTGCACGGTGTAAACTTCGCTTCGAGGCATATGGCATATGCTCTTCGCTCTGCGCAGGAAGATAAGGCATCAGCAAAAGCCGCAGCAGACGAGCAAGCTCAGGAGCTATCTCGTGCTTCGTTTCAGAATACTCAATCAGCAAAAGCAATTGCCCGGCTTGTCCCAGATGATGTGAGTGGCTGAAACCAGCAAAAGCGCCTATCCTTAGCTGTGTGAAACCAGGGCTTGAGCCAATGCAGGCCTCATCCGACAATGGAAACTACACCACGACTGCATACCAGAGGCATACGTGTGCGATACCAGCGCGACTCCAAACCCTCGTGCCTAGTAAGTTGGGAGGCCAAAAAAATGAGTTGGCTCCCTTCGGTGCGACCTGGTCAGCGAAGTGGGTGGGAGAAAATAAGTGCCAACAAGCTAGTGGCTCGCCTTCTGAAGCTCTGAACATTGACATGGCATGGGAGAATTCTCAAGCACAGGACCTGCAGCGGCGGCTCGAAGCCGCCAACCGCCGCTTGCTAGCTGAGGCACGGCGACTTACCGTATTATAGTCAGACGAAGTATCGCGGGGAGTCCATGTTTTTTTGCTTGAGGAGCAGTGCCGCAAGGCCGCCGAGGAGCGAAGCGCGGCAGCGGTGGCTCGGCTGCAGTTCGCAAGCAAGCGAACCCTCCTCGTTTTGGATTCCTGCTGCCAGGGCGGGATGCTTCGTTCGCTGAGTTTGCTGTGTAGTGCAATCTTGTCCTTGCAGAGTTTCTTTCTTGTCCCGTGACCCTGCCGCGGGCTTCTCGCCGAATCTGGCCACCAGCAGAAGGGGTGAGCAGCGTTCATACAAATCATTGCAGTTGGCTCACCAAGGAACGGCGTCTTTCAGAAGCAGAGAAGCATCTGGACTCTTGGCCGAGCATGGAAGCACTCCCGAAGAAAATTCTATGCTAAGGGGTATTGCCTGTTCGGGTTGCATAAGTCGTACCACCCTCGCGTTTGCACGGCATGAGTTTTACCGACATGTTTCAGGGTTGCTACACTTGTTTTAGTTGCCATGCAATATTCGGAAACGTGCTGGGATACGTCAAAATCCGAACATGTCAGACTTCGTGCTGGGCGTGTGTCCGTGCCACGCATGGGAAGAGGCTGCTCTCAAGTCGAACTTAGATCCACGCTGCGAATCACTTTAGATGGGCCACCAAGAGTAACAATGGTTGCAAATCAGCCCTGAGTGTAGTATGTGCTTTCCCACAAACAGAGGCGATCGACGACTGTGCACCGTAACAGAAGAAGTCGATTCTGAGTGACATCATGCTCTAAGTGGAGTAAATCAGGTTGAAAACCCTTGGAACGCTTGTGCGTCGGAATAAGAGTCCAGTGTTTGCGCGTTGCCCGAAATTGTCGTTTAATTAGTTGCATTGCTTGACTTCATTTATTGGAAGCCATGATGCGATTGCTCACAGTACATGACACCGTCATTCGCGGGAGCGATGTGGACGCAGTTTGGCTGCTTAAGAGAGAAAGGCTTTTGCAGAACAGGGCGAAGCCATGGGTTGCAATGAGTTGCGTTGATGCCACTCGCTAGATAGTGAGTCTCCTGCCTAGGGCCTAGGGCCTAGGGATGCTTGCAAAGTTCGGAAGGAGAGCATGGCGATGCCAAGTCCTCGAAGGCCGTCAGGACTCGCCCTGGAACACAGGGGGCCAAGCTGTCGCAAGCCTCAAGGCACATTTCGCATTTCCAGGAGAAGGCAGCCCACGAGACGAGGCATCGCCAAAGCCCGCACCGTCGGAAGCCTCGACAGAAACGTGGCTTGTCTGGTTGAGCAATCTCGTGGTACAGCTTACACCTGTCTCATCTCGAGAGTGGGACAGGTAACTTGAGAAGCACTCCACGATGATGCAGGTACGAGAGATGCGACAATACGGCGCACGCAGAGTCCAATGACGCGTCGCAGCTGCATGCGCTACTTGCTGCAGCTGAGCTGAAGCTTGGCCCTTCAGAGAGTAAGGGCGAAAGAGAGAGCGAGAGAGGCAAGGGCTGGGGACGGACCTACCCCAGTTCTCCCCACCTGGTAGAGAGAGAGAGAGAGAGATCGTGTTGTGACTTTGTGATTTTATAGCTGGTCGCCCGGTGCCGCCACAGTTGCGAATGCGCGACAAGGTGCGTGAGGGGACACGGAATATGCATCAGCCCTTTGACCAAGCCCGGGGATGGGGTTCTAGTGTTCTTACAGGGTTGGGAGTTGAGTTGGGGGATTTACGGTTGACGCACCGCCGGCCTCATCTTGTGACTTTTCACACAAAGACAGCGGAGACCAGAGCGCGCATGCGCGCATGGGGGAGCTGCCTGCTCTTCCTCTGGCTGTGTGGAAGAAGAGGAAATGCACCCACACGCCCAGCAAGCAAGCAAAAGGTAACCCAAGATCGTGCGCGTTGCACATCGTTGCCCCCAAGCTTTGTAGGGCAACTAATGGATGGTTGGGTAGGGACAGTTGCTTTTCAATGCATAGAGCCACTTATGCGATGCATTTGTGCTCAGTTCCTCAAGAAAAGAGACAGGAAGAAAGCGAGGGTGTGCAGAATTGCTTGGAGCTGGTGCCACACTTTGCCACCTTGCTTTCGGATCCCCAGCACGCACATTGCCAGTGTCAGTGGGGAAGATGTCCTGTGCTGGGCTCTGCTGCTTCGTAGCTATAGTATGTTATAGTAGTAGACTCGACCATTTTGTCGCCCTTGTCGGAGGAAGGCGAGCGAGGAGACCCGCGCCCGGCAAACAGCACAGCGGCAGCTCATCCAGGCTATCAAGGCGGCCACAGCGCCTGGGACGATGTTTTCAGCATTCAGCCCACGGCTTTTATAGAGCTATCTACACGTGTTGCCCGAGCATGCCTTGTCCATGCTGCTCCTGTTGCTGTTTCTGTTCTTGGTCTGGTGGGGGCGGCGGCAGCGGTGGCACGGTGCCCGGTGCTCCAGAACGCGCTTGTCGTCGTCATGGTGGTGCTGGTGGTGACTCTTCTTGTTGTTGCGGATTCCACTATTCCACTGCTACGTTTATGGCTGCTGCTGCTGCCACTGCTGCTGCTGCCGCTGCTGCTCCTGCTGCTCGTCCTGCTGCTGCTGCTGCTGCTGCTACTGCTGCTACTGCTGCTACTAACTACTACTACTACTACTACTACTACTACTTCTACTATACTACTACTACT